ATTTCCTGTGTTCAGGGGTCAGAGGAGGGTCTGAGAATCCTTGTACTGCCTGCCTCTTAAGTAACTTAAGAAAAAACCTTTTTTTAAAGTTTATTTATTTTTGAGAGTGAGAGAAAGAGAGAGAGAGAGAGAGAGAAAGAGACAGAGTGCAAGCAAGGGAGGGGCAGCGAGAGAAGGAGACACAGAATCCGAAGCAGGCTCCAGGCTCCGAGCTGTCAACACAGAGCCTGATGCGGGGCTCGAACCCAGGAGCTGTGAGATCATGATCTGAGCCGAAGTTGGACACTCAACCGACTGAGCCACCAGGGCACCCCAGTAACTTATTGAAATAACCAAATAGGGACGCCTGGGTAGCTCAGTTGGTTGAGCGTCCGATTTTGTTCGGCTCAGGTCATGATCTCGAGGTCTGTGAGTTCGAGCCCCGCGTCGGGCTCTGGGCTGACAGCTCGGAGTCTGGAGCCTGCTTTGGATTCTGTGTCTCCCTCTCTCTCTCTCTCTGCCCCTCCCCTGCTCGCGCTCTCTCTCTCTCTCAAAAATAAATAAACATTAAAAAAAAATAACCAAATATGCCCAACTGGCCCCTCTTGGGGTGGCCTGCCCTTGGTCCCTACAGACGTTTATAAACAACGTCTGCTTAAATTAAAAAAAAAAAAAAATCTGATCCCCACGACATATTTGTGATAGAGATAAGGCAGACAGTATTACACACACCTTGCGGATGATGGACTGAGGCTCAGAGAGACTAGGTGACATCTTTGGGGACACACAGCTGGCGATCTGTGAAAATGGAGGTGAGTGCAGCCCAGCAGCGGCAACACGGAAGCTCCCAGAACAGCGTCCTCGACAGAGGCAGCAGAACTGGCATGGAGATTCATGTCGGGTTCTCCTCACCCCTGCTTTCCTATTCCCTCACAGAGCAAGCCCATCTGGGAGCTTTTCTCTCTCCAGGCCAGGCTCTGGGTGGCCCCTGTCCACAGGGACATCTCCCAGGCATATGGCAAAATAATGGGTAAGACAGGAACTGCCTTAAAGATGGGTGCCTTAAAGGAGGGGCGCTTGGGTGGCTCAGTCAGTGGAGCGTCCAACTTCGGCTCAGGCTATGATCTCACGGTTCGTGAGTTCAAGCCCCAGATCCGGCTCTCCCCTGTCCCCCTCCCCACTCTCCCTCTGCACCTCTCCCGCTCACACTCTCTTTCTCAAAAATAAATAAACATTAAAAAAAAATGTTTAGTTCTTTGGTTTGGCTCGGTTCTGGAAACATCTACTCATGCTTTTGTGTCCTGGGTCCTGTGCTGCGTGTGTGGTGAGGACAGGGGTCAGCGGGACCTGGGGGGGTGGAATTAAGGATGACGAAAGCCCATCATTGGCACTATGGTGGAGTTGACAGAGTGTCAGCTGTGGGGTCACACGAACTTGGATTTTCATATGGACTCTGCTGCTTCCTGGCTGGTGACCTGGGGCAAGTTTCTCAAGAGCTTTGAGTCTCACGATCTTTCTCTCTAAAGAGGGAATAAGAACAATCACCTTACGGGTTTGTTGGGACGCGCTTCCCCTACTCGGCACGGTGTCCGACGTTTGGGGTTCGTGTCCTGATCTGATCCCCCCGTGTCTCCCTTCACCTGAACCAGAAACAGGATTCAGACCGAGAAGCCCTACACGCACCCAGGGCACCTACCTAACCCAGAGGCCGAACCACCCCCCTGCCTTGCTCCCTCAGATGCTAATTTCCTTCCGCCTTCTCTCCTGGGGCTTGTGAGCCACCAGGAGAGACCTGCACGGGGCCCTCTGTATGCGACAGGGCGAAGCGAATGCTTAAAACCCAACAAGCCAACGAAAGCACGGGCTGAAGGAAACCGGGGTGGGGGGCATGGCTGGATCACGAGTACGGAGCCCAGCAGGGAAGCGGCACTTGGGCGAGGCCTGATGGGTCACTGCACTCCAGGCGACGAGGACGGGCCAAGCTGCTCAGTCAGGGCGCAGGCCCCGGGGCCAGCGCGCCCACACCGGCCGCCTTGGTAGGCTTCCCGTCGGCGTGCGTCATTCTCTACGTGGGAGCCGTCACAGCGCCACACAAGTGGACCCCAGGCTGTCCAGCGGATGGCGTGGTGGGTTCACAGGAAACTGACACGTCCCCGGCTTGGGGCGCCTACTCCCACAGGGCAGCAGCCCCTCTCCCACCCCTTGTCCCCACAGCCACTGTCCCAGGACATCCCAGGTCAACTTTAGACAGAGACTCAGCATCCGGCCTGGGACCAGGGACGAAGCTGGTGCTTTTGGATCCCGTTCTGAATCAGGGTCCGGAGCCTTCTGGAACCAGGCAGCCTTTTCTTTCTGAGTCACTGTGCAGCACACCTGGGTCAGTTTCAAACCTTCTGTTTCCTGGGACTGGGTGTCAGTGTTGCGAGAATTTGCCCACAGAGACGGGTCATGCTACCGAGCAGCGGTAGCTTTCATTTCTCGACAAGGGTGCTGGCTAGTTTTTTTTTTTTTTAATGTTCAGTTTTGAGAGAGAGAGAGAGAGAGAGAGAGAGAGAGACAAAGTGCAAGCAGGGGAGGGGCAGAGAGAGAGGGAGAGAGGGAGACACAGACTCTGAAGGAGGCTCCAGGCTCTGAACTGTCAGCACAGAGCCCGACGCGGGACTTGAACCCGCGAACCATGAGATCATGACCTGAGTCGAAGTTAGATGCTTGACCGACTGAGCCACCCAGGCGCCCCATGGCCATTTTTTTTTAATAGTTTCATTTATTTAAACTAAGCTCTCCACCCAATGTGGGGCTTGAACTCACGACCCCAAGATCAAGAGTTGCTTGCTGTATCCACTGGGCCAGCTGGGTGCCTGGGTGCTGGCTAGTTTTGGCGAGATGATATTCCAGCGATGTCAAGAAGGTTCCACAGCAGTGAGGAAGGCCAAGGTAGACTGGTGTGCCCAGTAGACGTAGAGTAAGCCCATTTTAGAATCATATTACGACTCATTTAGAAAGTATTATTATTACTTATTACTCACATCGATAGGAAAAGAGTAACCCGGGTCCTTCGCACCAGAAGGAAAGGCCAATGGGGTCAGTTGAGCACAGTGCTGGTGGTGGGGGGGTCGGAAGCTTTGTCCTGAGCGGGTAGAGCAGGAACGTCCTTCCTCATAAGACACTGACTCACCCGAGTGCCTCCCAGTGGAGACAGAGAGGTCCGTGGAGCTGGCTTCGGGGCCTCACAGGCCACTGTCCTCTCGTGCTCTGGGAGGATCGCAGGGCATTTTGCCCAGACTCAGATTAGCCCGTGGTTCCAGCCTTTGCCTGGGTGACACGGGCAAAGTCACCGGGGAGCCATGGCAGAGCTGTTCCTCCAGCGGGAAGAAAAAGCTACGGTTAGCGAGTGAGGATGAACACGTGGAAGCTGAGTGTTGGAGGGAAAGCTTCAGAGAAGCTTCTCGGGGTTGAGTTTGTGTGATAGGAAATATTCCTATTTGATGAGGCATTAAAAACAATTTTTTTTTGAATGTTTATCTACTTTTGAGAGAAAGAAAGAGAGAGACGAAGAAGGTGCATGCAGGGGAGGGGCAGAGAGAGGGAGACCCAGAATCCGAGGCTGTGAGCTGTCAGCACAGAGCTGGATGCAGGGCTCGAACCCACAGACCACCAGGTCATGACATGAGCTGAATGAAGTAGGACGCTTAACTGACTGAGCCAACCAGGCACCCGCCCCGCCCCGCCCCCGCCCCGCCTCCTTTATTTAAGTGCAGGAAGATGCATTTGCTCCCCGTCAGGTTCCCATGGTCGGGGAGACAGCGTTTCTGCCATAAATCAGGCCGGGCCGGCCATGGCCTTTTCTCAAACAGGGCGAGGGCACTGGGGCTTCTGGGACGTCGGTGGGACTCTTGACTAGGGTGGGCCCAGCGCTGTGGGAGAGCCCCTCTCGCTATGCTCCAGCGGGGTGGCAATAGCGAAGACAATAGGCCAGACTTTTGTCCTTCGCAGGGAGTTTCCCAAGTCACTGGGGCCTCACGACAGCCCTGCAGCTGGCAGGAAAGGGGTTTTTATTTCTAAGCTGCTGCAACAGTCTCAGAGAGAAAAAACGACCCCTCGACAAAAGTGGCAGAGCCGGGAATAGAACTTATGCACCTTGTGGCCACATCCTGCGCTTCTGGTTTGTCACTGCATTTATGTGCTGCAGAAGGAGTCGTGGGGGAAGGGTGTGGGGCCCAGGCTGGAGGAGGGGTGGGGGGAGGTGGCAGCCTGCCTTCTCCCGGGGGACATTCTGGGCTGTGTGGTCCTCTCTTGCCCAGTTGAGCCGCCCCTGGGGCTGCCATGGGGAGGGCCCCAGGGCTGAGGCCAAATGACAGAGCAGGCTTCTCGCGTGCCTGTGGCCTTCTTGAGTGTCCTGACTGTCCGTTGTCCGCAGCTGCTCTCCCTGCAAACCCCAAGGCTCCTGGCTCTGCCCTGGGGAGGCGAATAACGGCCACATGGGTATCTTCTGGAAGCATCTGAGTTCCTGGTCCTGGGGGAAGAAGGGATGGGGTGTGGGTTGAAGAGAGCACAAAGGAGCGGGAGAAACCTCAAAGGCACAGGGCCCAATCTTGGGGAAGCCTTGTTGGGCGCCCGGAAACTCAACGTATGCTGCAGAGACCCCTACTGGGAAGAGATGTAATTACAACACGGTTCCGCGCTTGCGCAGACGCACAGGGCCTGCAGCAGGTCAGCGCAAGGGTGGGAACCCAGGCTTTGGGGTCCGAGCCACTGGATTTGGGTCTTGGGTCAGTCACGCAATGGCTGAGACTCTGGGCGAGTTACTGGAAGCTCTCTGAGCCTGTTAAATGGAATAGGTACAAAACCTCCCCTATCTATTTCGTAGGGTTGTTCCGGGGGAACCAAAGCATACGAAGCGGGGCCCCTGGGTGGCTCAGCCGTTAAGCGTCTGACTTCTGCTGGGGCCAGGATCTCGTGGTTCATGAGTTCGAGCCCCGCTTTGGGTGAGCCCTGCTTTTCTCCCCACCCCACCCCTGCCCCTCATGGGATTCTCTCTCTTTCTCTGCTCCCCTCGCTCACTTATGCCCTCCCTCTCTCAAAATAGATAGTGGCCTTTCTCTCAAGGCCACTGACTTGGCCTTGAAAGCTCAAAGCTCTCCAACAGACGTGGGCAGATTCGGCCTCTGTCTCTCCCTGTGCGTACTCAGGGTGGTGAACCACCTCGGTGTCAGTGCCTCGTGCCTTCTGCCCGGTGAAGGGAGCGCCCAGGGTAGCTCTGCAGTCTTCCCTTGGTGATTTTTGTACACGCAGTGCAGCTGGGCCGGCCCCGTGTCGCACCGAGCTCCAGGATCGGTGACAATGGACAATGCATCTTCATCCTGACTTGTGTGGCAGAAAGCAGAGCAACCTCTGTGGCCTACAGCCGGATGCCTCTGGGACCCCGGACCGCTGTGTCCCGCGGAGGGTCTGTCCTCGGTGTCTCCTTGAGGCCCCGGGGACAGTGCTGTGGCCTTCACCTGCGCGGTCCAGGACGCAGTCAGTAACAGCGGCTCCCTCCCTGTCTCAGCGCCGCCCTTGTGTGCAGGTACCTGGCCCCCCGGAGCACACCCCCTGTGCCGCAGCTCTGGAGGGGACGGAAGGTGGAGGACGGAGTCCTGGTCCTGCGCAGGCCCTGGGGAGAGGGGCTAACACCCTCGAGAGAGGGCGTCTGGGCCAGTGTGGTCAGGGGAGAAGGAGGAGAAGGCCTAGGGGGGCCAGTGGGGAGGTTGGAGGAGTTTGGGCAGGAGGCGCTCAGCAGTGGGGGGTTGGGGGGGGTGCTGGGCTGCCCTGAGTGCATAGGGAGACCCCGGCACTGAAGCTGTGGTTTTCTGTCTGTCTGCAGGGCCAGGGATCCTGGGAGGGGACACGGTCGGGGAGACAGTGTTCGGTAGGTATCCCTGGGGAGTTGGCCACTCGGCCCCTGGAGGTCCCAGCCGGGCAGGAAGTGGAAAAGGTTACCTGGAGCTCTGGACAGCTTGTCACTGTTTTGCAACCAGGACCCGGAGGCAAACCAATCCTGGCTGCTGGGATTTAGGGACCTTACAGCGAACGACTGTGTGTCCTCTCTGCAGATCAGGTCCCCAAGGCTGCAGGGCCCTGGCCCCTCCGGAGCCTGGATAACTCTGCCTATTTGTCACCGCCACCAAGGATTTCACCCTGCGGGTCTGTGGTGAGGGTGGGGGCGGGGGGGGGGGGGGCGGGGGGCTCACATCTGAACTTTGACCTTCCCGCTCTGCCCTGCCTGACCAGGCCAGAGTCTCCTCAGAGCTCAAACTTGACTTTCGCACAGAGAGAAGCTGCGGGAGCCCGATATCGCTGCCGGTTCCCGGATGGCGAAGGGTGGGGCCCGCTGTGTCCCCCTGACGGGCTCCCTGCGACAGGCCTGAGAGGATGTGCGGTACAGTCGGGCCCCTCTCGGCCGGGTGGCGGGGGTGGGGGACCACTCTCACGTCACCTGGACTTCTGGGGTCGGCGACAGCTATCGCTGCACGGCCAGGAACCGGTCAGTCAGAGCTCGGGCTCAGTCCCCATGGGACCCCTCTGGGCAGGTAACCCCCTCCTGTGAGCCCCCTCCTTGGCAGCCTGGGCCTAGGTCCTTAGCATCCCCACCTGGCTTGCTGGGGACTCCAGGGCTGGTCGAGGAAAAGGCGGGCGGGATCACTGAGAGCAGTGAGTGTCTCTGGGGTGGCAGGAAATCACAGTTCTGGTGCCATCACCCCAGGGCCTGCTGTCCAGCTTCTGTCTGTCCGCCCCAGACCCTGCGCTTGGCTCACTCCTGGGTCTCCCCCGGCCCACCCGCTCCTGCAGACCCACTGAGGAGGAGCCCCAGACCTTGGCCGCGTCCTCAGAGAAGCCTGGAGCTGCTCTGAGAGGGAGATCCAGGCTGTGGCTCCTGTGGCATCCGGGACGGCCTCTCCCGGTGTCCACAGGCCGCTGCGGGAAACCGCTTCGGTCCAAACACATTCTGTCCCTCTTCCCTCTTCTTGGCCGACTTCTGGACGTCTCTCTGTTCCCTGTCTCTGAGTCCCATGCTCCCCCCCACTGAGCCAGCCAGG